CAAATTAAATTTTCATGGTGCTGCCTTTAAAACAATCCTTTACTTCCCACAGCCGGACATAGAGCTGTTCAAGGAGGCAGCAGATCGCATGCTGGAATCCTGTGGCACCACCATGCTGCAGGCTGGGTCCCACCACGTGCTCCAAGGGGACTGAAATTCCAGTACGTGAGGGGCCACTGAGAGGGTGAATGGGAGATGAACTCTTTAACAAAAATATACATTCTAAAAAAAATTGAATACCTCATTTGTGAAAGTGCCTTTTGATCATTATAACCTCTGGTTTTAACCACTCTGGTTCTCCTGCCAAGTATGGTTTACTGATGGCACATCATCATGGCACCAGGAATGGACTTGTTGAGAAGTTAAATAATGGGACTACTTTCAGACCATTTTTGTAGCTGAAAATTCTCATGATATAAAAGAGTCATCATACAGTTATTTCACTGTGGAGAACTGTTATTTTTCTTAGAATAACTTTGAACTCTGTAGCTTTTGGGGAAGGAGGATGTTTATCAAATAAAACCCTGCTTCCATTCTTCCCCCAAAAGCTCAGCTTGTATTAGCTGGAACGATAACAAATTTGTGATGATATGTATCCAGGCAGATTGTAAATTTAGCCAGAGCATTTATGTATTACTAAATCCAAACAAAGATCTAAAGCAAGACACAAAACACCAAAAAAAAAGTTCCAAAAGATACGGACTGAGATTTTTAAAGCTGAGTAAGGGATTCACCCACTCCAGTACCAAAGAAATTGATTAATTATGTGTTTGATAATCTCAGTTTATGTGCCTAGTTAATTCTTGGTATAACTTCATTGTCTTCAGTGGAATTACAGTGCAAATGTATTTGACAGATAGTCGTGTTTCTTCTCCAAGAATAACTTTTAAGGCAGAAGGTTTAAACATGAGTGAATGAAAGTCTTGGGCCAAGTTCTGCCCTAATTTAAACCCTGTACGGAACAGCTGACTTGGAAGTGAGGGTGTGAGGAAAGGCAGAAAGAGACACGAGTCTGTTCTTCCTTTGCTGGGACATTACATCAATTCCCTTAGGTAATGGTCATGTTGCCGAAAAACACAGTGGGAATCCAAATTGCAGTTTTTTGGAGATTCTTTCCTTCTAAGCCTGCAAATTCTTGTATTTCACAAGCAGTAAGTTTTCAGGGAAAAGCCTGGACTAGTCTCAGTGGAGGACCATGAAATTCACTCCTATTGGGTATTGCATTGATGCAAATCCTGCCTGCTTCAAAATGCATTTCATCTTCTTTGAGGCTAAACACTGGAAATTATCATTTTAATATGAACATTGTCTGAAAATGCATTATTTTCTGATTAAATTGTGTGAATAATTCCATTCTCAACCTCAATGTTATTTTGAATCAAACCCCAGCATTTGGATTTTTTTTTTAGTGTACTGGGTTATTTTTGGCTCATTATTAGTATTCAAGTTAAGCATCTCTAAATAGGGCTGACGGGTCAAACAGGGTGCACACACCATTGCCAAGGTGAGAAAGAAGTAATGCCCATCTCAACTCTTTCTATGCGTCACTGCTAAGGGCATGGGCAAGTTTTATTGCTTTGCCCAAAATGTAATTTATGCCAGCAGCAGAAATCTGAGGGCTACAGCTCTAAGTGTAGTGAATTCCTTATTGTCCTCCCTTCTGATTCTTCTGCTGGCAGAAGTTATTTTACTAAGACAAAAGTGATGTAATCTGTGTACAGATAGTAAGTGAGCTCAACATAAACAAAATGGCTCCACAGTAATACCTCTGCTCTAGGCGGATCAAGCCGGTCTCCGGACTGACAGCCCAAGCGCTTGGATGCCCTTCCCGGCTCTCCTCTCATTGACTGTGTTCAGTCATATCAGATAGCAAAGTCACATGCATTGCTTTAAGACTCAATTGGATGTCAGGGGCCCATCTGCTAAGAACCCCTAAGGAGGCAAAAGTGAAGACATTTCCCATCCAGCGTAGTCTGCAATAGTTATAAACAGACATTGGATCAAGAGCATGAGGACAGGCTGAGGGAGTTGGGGCTGTTCAACCTGGAGAAGAGAAGGCTCTGGGGTGACCTTATAGCAGCCTTCCAGTAGCTGAAGGGGCCTACAGGAAGGATGGAGAGGGACTTTTCACAAGGGTGTGTAGTGATAGGACAAGGGGGAATGGCTGTAAAATAAAAGAGGGCAGATTTAGGCTAGATATTAGGAAGAAATTCTTCACCATGAGGGTGGTGAAACACTGGCACAGGTTGCCCAGAGAAGCTGTGGCTGGCCCCTCCCTGGCAGCATTCAAGGCCAGGTTGGATTGAGCTCTGAGAAACCTGGTCTAGTGGAAGGTGTCCCTGCTCATGGAACCAGATGATCTTTAAGGTCTCTTCCAACCCAAACCATTCTATGATTCTATCTGTGAAATGCAGCTGCTAATATTCAGCCTTGTGAAAATGTACAGAAGTGAAAAGCTCCATAGGATGGGCTGTCACCAGTGCCATGAAGGAGAGCAGGAGCTTTCCCAGGAGCGAGGTGCTCGGCCAGGCTGGGAGTGGGGAGGCTGAGCAGAGCCAGCCCCATGGGGACAGCAGCTCTGCACAGCCCCCAGCGTGGTGCCCCCAGAACTGGCGCGGAGCACATGGCTCTGAAGCTGACGCTTCCCCACTCACCCGGGGTTGTGCTGAGGTGGCATTTTCTTCCCTTAACCAGGCCCAAGCAAGCCTTATGCGAGTACTTTATTACCGGCAATGCCTAATGAGTGACTCGCTGGGCTCCCCACTGAGTCCTGCCAGCAAGGGAGACTAATTGCCATCTGGCCTTGTGAGTGGCAGCCACCTCCCCTCCTTGCTTTCTTTTCTTCATCTCCCTCCTGCGTATGCGATTATTTATTAGTTCTGCATACAGACCTCCCTGCTGGAGACAAACACAACCTACTTTTTGCCTCCGCACCAGAGCTTACATCTGTGATCTCCAGTTCTTCACCTCTGTAGCACTCAACGCCTGTACCTTTTCCATCCCGTATACAAAGCTGTACCTCTCTTCTCCCAGTCTCATCTCAGCAGCTGCCGTCAAGTTCTGCCTTTCCTTCTTATCACTTGTCACCTTCTCACCTCCATTATTTGGGCTGCCTCCAAAATCAGCTCTTCTCCCTCTTTTCCTTCAGAGCTGCGGCTCCCACCACCTGTCTCAGACATCAGTGCTTGACAGACTTTCTTCCAGTACCTTTCATCACTTTGAGCCTTCTTCAGTAATTTCAATTGACAAGTACAATATTGTCATGGCTAAGTGGACCATGTTTAAATACAAAAAAAGCTGGATGGGTTCTCCCACTCTCTTCTGCCTTTTCTTTCTCTTCATTAGTTACTCCAGGTCCAAGCACAGGCTCAGAGTAAGGCACTGCAACACAGGTAGCACATCATCACTGCTTCTACTTCAGAGTACAGCTGTGAAAGAAGAAAGTCTGTTCTTAAAAAAGATGATGGTAAGGAGCCTTCTGAAAGCCTTTCAGGAGAACTTTTACCCTGCATCACTTCCACAGTCAAAATGGGGGAAAAATAAACGCAACCAACCATGCTTTGTATTTTAGTAGCAATTAGAAGAGAGTCATGACCAAACTTTGGAAACATCAAGATGTTTAAACTATTCCAGCTGAGGTAAATTGTGGGGGGAAAAAGTCCTGGTGCAGACATCATGGATGGAAAATAACCTACACAGATCTTCGTGTAGTATGTCATCCACTTTAGAACTGTGACTTGAGAAGCTGCTTTGGCTAAGAATTGCCACATTCACACTGAGGGCCAAGGAGAGCATTTCTGCAAAGGCTAAAAAAATTAAAAATAGGATTTCCTAAGGAAAATGGAAACTTAAAATAACACCAGTTTAAAATTACTTCTTGTGTAGTGATCTCATTTCCTTAGGATCAGCTTCTTATTACCCCTCAAATTGTGAGGCAGGGTTAAATCTTCCTGAAAGCTAATTTTCTGATTGTGTTTAAAAATTGGTTCTGATTAAGCAAAGCTTAATTAATTATATTTATTCTGCAGAGTGTTGCTTTGCCCTACTCTTGAGCATAGAAATCTGGGATGTGGGACATTTCTCATGGCTTTAATTTTGAAAAGGATCAGAACTGGGTTTACCTGTCACCTTTGACTGTCTGTCTGGAACTGAAACAACAACAGAACAATCCCGTAATGTTCCTGATGACAAGGAAAACTTTTCAGTGATTTCATCTATAGGAAATCATAGCTAGTTCAGTGATATCTCTAGCTCCGTTTTGGAAATGCAGAAGGGATTTTGAGTAGTTGGCAGTGGTAAACGCTGCATTGACACCACTACAAGTTCAACGCACTGCTTAGATTCAAGTTAGAACATAAGCAATATCCTGACAAAGCCGTTATAGATTGTTTTTAAAGGAGGTGGAGGGATAGAAAAAATTAAATATGAGGACATAAGTAGCATGATCTTCAAGTGATGAGTAGGCAAAACATAGTAAGGGAAAGTTTTCAAGAATCAAATTATTTTGAGCACCCCTGGTTTGAAGTTTCAAAGCATCCTGATTCAAAAACTGCCAACCATTTTTCCACTGTTTATGGGAAATCCAAAGCATCCAAAATAATGTGTTTCTTTCAAAGGTCATCTGCTTGTAGCACTGTAAACGGAGTTGGTTTTGCTTTTTAATGGTAGAAACTATTGTGACCAAAAAAAATGTGGAAAAAGTTTAGAGACTACCATCGAAAACTTCCTGGTATTCTTTGTTCTGCATTGTTACATGGGTAAATGATTAATGCTGTAAAGAGTTTTGGTTTTTTCATTTTGTTTCCCCACTATAAAAGTATAAAGTGGGCCACAAACGGTGAAAAGGTCTCAACTGCTGCAATAAGCAATGCTGAATTCTGCTTACACTTCAGAGGAGCTGCTACATGCCCATTCACACAGAAGAGTTTGCTGGGAAAGCTTTAAAAACTAGATGAGTTGATGGCTTGTGCAACTCACCTGGAATCTTTTTGTTCCTACAGCTCTCGTCGTACGCTTCCTGACCAAACGGTTCATCTGGGAGTATGACCCCACGCTAGGTAGGTCGCATTTTATTCTATACACGTGGTATGCTGTATATAATCTCATGGCTGAAGTAATGAAAAGTCATAGAGTTAGAATTCCACGCGTCAGTCAACCTTTAAATTTGCTGTAAATAGCTTCTCTATGGTCATTTAAAGCTGGAACAAATTATTACCTAAGATGGCAGAATAGAGAAGCAGTAATGCACTCAGTTGAAAGCAGAATTAATATATGAGGCACATTTCTGCCCACACAGAAGTCAGTGGGAATTTTGCCATTGAAAGCAGTTGCATTAGTATTTCACTCTGAAAATTATTTAGCATGCGATCAGCTTTCTTGCTTTTCACAGAATCACAGAATGGTAGGGGTTGGAAGGGACCTCTATGGGTCATCTAGTCCACCCCCCCTGCCAAAGCAGGGTCACCTACAGCAGGCTGCACAGGACCTTGTCCAGGCAGGTCTTGAACATCTCCAGAGAAGGAGGCTCCACAACCTCCCTGGGCAGCCTGTTCCAGTGCTCCGTCACCCTCAGAGTGAAGAAGTTCTTCCTCGTGTTCAGATGGAACTTCCTATGCTGCGGTTTGTGCCCATTGCCCCTTGTCCTGTCGCTGGGCACCACTGAAAAGAGTTTGGCCCCATCCTCCTGACACCCGCCCTTGAGATATTTGTAAGCATTTATTAGGTCCCCTCGCAGCCTTCTCTTCTTCAGTGTGGGCTGGATGAGTGGTCAGTGAGGTGGATTGGGAACTGTCTGAATGGCAGAACTCAGAGAGTTGTCATCAGCGGCGCTGAGTCTAGTTGGAGGCCAGTAACTAGTGGTGTCCCCCAGGGGTTAG